AGCTGCATCCACAAATGCAAGTTAAAACTCAACCATGCCAAGAAGAATCATTATAAAAATGATCCAGAAACACCACCGCCTTCTCTGGGCCCAAGCTTGTTTAAAATGGACTGAGGCGAAGCGGAAAAGTGTCCTGTGGTCTGACGAATCAAAATTATGCATGCTGCATCCTTTCTATGAAAAAACTGAAAGCAAGTCTTCTCAAAAGAATGGTAGCAGTAATAAAAGCAAAAGGTGGACACTAATTACTGAAAAACTGATTTTAGAATAAGTTTATAAATTTGCTTAATTAGGCACTGGTCAATTAATCAAACTCTTGCAAGCCCAAACTCTTCATTGCATTCTACATGCCTCAAATTGCATCAAATGCCCTGCCCTAATTGATAATAGCTGGCTTTGAGGATACTGTTTCATTCCCTTGAGCTAACCATGAGTTAAAGAGTTGATTCCAAACATTTTGACTCTCAGAGTCATAGACTCTGTTCATTTGGAATTGACTCATCTGCCTTTGCTTGTCTTGCTATAAGTGCAACAAAATCTGCGGAACTATGCTCATCGCCACTGATCGAGACAGCTATAAGACAAACCAGTATGTCAGTCACTTTTTCATTTCCAGCACTGCGGCCAGTTCAGCTGAAGCCGGGCATCAGGAAAGGCCTGCCAGGGCGGTAATTAGGTCGTAAGAATGGCACAGTCTATCCACTGCCCAATGCGATGTGTCAAAATGTGAGCTATACAGGGACATGCTGACCATTTGCTTCATCAACGGAAGGATCTCACGCACACACACACATACTGGCACACACACAGGAGACACACACGGCTGACAGACATGTGCGGCAGAACTGATCCCTTCACAGGCCTGTCTTCACCTTTTTTCCTCCCTGGCTCGGAAACCGCTCTCCTTCAGAAGCCCTGTATGTTATACCTTCTAAATTAAGCTCTCCTCTCTTCTGCCCCACTTTCTGCCATTCAAACGTCAGACCATGATGCCAGGACCATCTTCATGTGTTTGAAAACCATAGCACTAAACTTATTACTTCTCTGCACCTTTATGGAGAAGTCATGATAATGCTTAGACTAGTGCTGGGCAGTTTATTCAGTATGCTGCTTGAAATTCTCTCTCAGGCATGAGTTTTGTCACAACCATCATACACGTATGTCATAAATAAACACAGATAACGTGATGTACAAGCAGTCGCCTCACTAACATTATCCCATTGAGCTGAACAGCTGTGTCAGGGATGTTTCAAATGAAAAGGAAAGTGCCGCAGACCCTCAATCACATCCTGTAGTCTTGTCTGTTGCATCTGAAGTAGTCCACTTTGTTTTTGAGGCAGTGGACGTAAAGAAATGGGGTTAGCCTAACATGGACACCAGACCGATTGCCACACATTTGCCACCTGAGAAGCCGCCTGACTTGGTCATCTGCCTCAGATGATGCCGTGATCTCGGGGCCTTGTGCATGAAAAAAGCTTGTACTGATACATGAAATACTGGAAGGAACATCCCAGAATAATAAGCCACTATTAGAAATAAGTTTTATTTGAATTTTTAACTCTACATTTCTGGCCATTCTGCCCACTACTAGCTTGGACCACAGATTTTGTGAATTGTTATGTATGTAAGTTAGTCAGTAAATGCATAGTGAAGAAATGCTAAGTGCATTACTAAGTGCTAACAGGATAAACAGTCTCCCCAGCCATTGAAAATTCCATAACTAAAATGCTCATCAGACGTAGCAGCAGAAACTGAGGGGACAGGGTCCTGCTGAAGGGTCATCTATCTTAAAAAAATTGAGTTTGCCATTGCTAACGTAAACACTGCCTCAGAATCTAGATGCCTCCCAATGATAAGTGCAGAAAACACTCCTTGAGACACCTATATGCATGTGCCTACATGCCTCACAGATCCTAATGAGTTGAAGTTAATATAAGTTACCTGTAGTCTTGTAAGTGAAGTTTCACTCCACAATGAACATTGCCAGAAAATGAAGCAAAAATACTTAATGCTGTAGAATAATTATATTTGGAGAAATTACATCATGTTAATATGCAGTGGCAAACTGTGGCTATTAAAACTAGGCCTTCGGCTCGGGCCATAGTTGTAAAACAAGGAAGAAACACCTCTACAATAGTGCACATTTCTGCTAGCCCCTCTATGGGACTCTAGTAGTATGTTAATACTAAGCCACCAAAAACTTAACAATACTGCAACACTTGCAAATAGACACAAGCATAAGCATTATATTAAATGAAATCAGCTACATATTACAGACGTGAATTCTTTATTTCAAAGAAATTATTACATTTTCTCTGAAGGCCTAAAAGGTCTTAAGGTGGTACCCTAGTCCTGGAGAGGGCTTATTTATTTTTGCAGCTAGGTAATTGTTTCAGTGTTGCTATGTGCTAGCTAGGCTAGTCTTGCTAACAGCTACTCACAGTATACCCATTACTTCAGACTAGACTACACCACTGGTAAAATTCATGTACTCCCTTTGTCAGGATAAATTTAGGATTAAATGGGTTTAAGTGCCATCTATAGAATATTTAATTACATTTAACATATTTTTTACTTTTATTTTGTGAAACCTGAAGAAAAAACATTTAATCTGCTTACATACTCTATTTCAGTGGTTCCCAACCGGGTCTCCAGGGTTTCCCAGTCAGTCCACATTTTTCTGCCCCTATGTGTTGCAAGTTGGGTTGGAGCAAAAACCATGGATCATCTGGGGGGCCTTGAGGACCGGATTGTAAAACCACTGCTTAAGTAAACCTAAGCAAGCCTTCTGTCTTTGCACACTATGGTGAGCCAGCTGCAATGTTCAAACAACCATCCCAAACTCCTCTCCTACAGAGGAAGAGAGTTCAATCCCCCAGTTTCACATGAGGTTCCAGTAGAACTTGAGTCTGCCATATTTAGCAGAGGATGCTGACCTTTTGGCCTATTGGAAAGAAAACCAAAGCAGCTCAACTTGCATGCGAGTATCTTTCTAAACCTGCTTCTTCAGCAAAACATCTTCAGAGAAGCAGGAAAGATATTCAAACTAGAACTTCTTGTGGCATTTCAATAATAAAACCGTTAAGGATCTTTGGTAACTACTTTAAAACTATCAAGACTGCCATCAAAGTATATAAATCATTTTAACCACTTGTATTGCACTTTATTTTACTCTGGACATTGTCTTGTATTGTTGTATGTATCATTAATGTTTTATGTAAGTTTTTGTCCTTTCGTACCTGCTCAGGGGCTACAGTTGAAAATTAGCCAAACTGGCTAAACCAGCACATTTGCAGAGATGTTATTGACGTACATTGTCCTTATAACTCTACATCCAAATTGAATAAACTCAATTGAATGTAACAGTGTTGAACAATGAGTTGTGATCATAATTATACCTACTATGACTTGACTTGTTGTAGTGCTAAGATTGAAATGATGCTTATTATTCTTCATGCATTATTCCTTATGCATTAAGCAGAGTTGCATAGTAATGGACTATGTATAATGGCATTGTGTGATCAGGATACATACTTTATTCCATTATAGTTCCACAAAAGAGATAGAAATCAGATTATAGACGAATAATAAAAATAAAGTGATTACTATCAACAGGATTACATCGAAACTTTTATCAGGGTGACTTTCTTGCCTGTGTTTGTCTGTATGAGCTGGATATGTCTGCCAAATGCAAATTTTGTTGTCATCTCATATATACTAACTAAGATCCGAGTTAAGCTAAATTCCACATTTTTGTTTTAGCTATTTCACTTTTCTTTTACTTTTAATCTTGCAGCTCAGTGACGTAGGTCAAAATTCTTGTTGGAATGCTGTCATTAAAAATCGAGTTGAGATGAAATTGTTCCATACGTCACTGAAAATGAACCAAAGTGAGAACAGTAGCACAGATATACACTTTCAGAAAAAGAGGTACGAAACTGTCACTGGCGCAGTACTCCTTAATGTCACTGGGGTGTCACATCTCATTACCTTTAGTCAGGGACCATAATTGGACCATAATCCACTGAAATTATATTTTTCGAAGTTGTATTGACTCCACACCCGTCTCGTCTCCAGCCTTTTTATTTTATTGTTCTGTTTCAAAACATTCGGTTATGAAAAAGGTGCAAATACATCATTTTCACCTGGAAAAACTTGCACAGTTGGACCTTAAAACCACTGTTGGATCTTTGAGGGTACATTTACATTGTTTGTTGCTTGATGAACGAAAAGGGTACCTGCACAGAACCTTTATTTCTAACAATATATCCAATAAGTTCATATCGAGCAGCACTGACTAAAAGATCTGGATGGTTCAGTTACAGGACCAAATAGTAATGTAAAACTGAAGGGGCACTACATAACAATGTGCCATGTTTAGATTCCAAACTAAGTGTACCCAACTAATTCCACCAAAATACAGTATTTTAGTGTATACAGTATACAGACACTTTCAAATGATTTGCCTCGTGTCAGCCTAAAGTCGTCTTGACTTTAAAAAGACAAGAAATACATAAATGGTATATATTAATTCAATAATCCTTTATATTAGCTTACAGAAAATCAATAATCTGATATGGCGCACATTTTTAAAGTAATGCTCCCAATCCTGCACCAGAGAAAACACGATTGATGCAATTTCTTATGTTTTGCTGCAAAATGTATGTTAGATAAAACTCTTACATTGATTAGGTGACTGTTCTTGAACTGTGAGTTTTGCACAAGCGTGCTCAGTATATGAGTTGTGCAGTCTGTCGTGTTTGTGCATGAGTGTGTGGAGGTACAGAGGAACATTTCTGAGGCCACTTTAGGTGCCTCCTCCACTCAGAGCTGTGCAGGAGCTCTCTGACTGAGCCTGAGTGCATTCAGCAGCTGAGAGGAGCAGAATGTTCAGCTACTGAGGCTTCAACTGTAGAGTTAGCGCCAGTCTGACTAGCCACTCCCCGATCTCTCACACACTAGAGAGAGAGAGAAACAGAGAGAGAGAAAGACCTCCTCACTCTGGCAATGATCACACACGCTGGACAGTGCAAGGTGGGACACTTTAGTCAGATCTGTGCATGTTTAAAGAGTGTGCATGTTGAAGCGTGTAGAACCGACTAATGCAATGCTGCTGTTGACTTTGATGAATTTGTTTTTTGCCTTTACTGTTTTAGTAGTTTTAATAGCCACCATTTTTGAATTTGGGGCAATTTGTGTGTTATGATTAATTTCAAAATAATACATTCATTTCTTTGTCATTGTTGATTTATATTGAGGCTGGTTTTACAGACAGAGGATCATTTCAAATACCAGTTATTTTCACATCTCATTTCACATATGAACTTATACAACTGGCCTTAATAGTTATTGTGCAGGGAATCTTTCTAAAACCATTACAGTAACAGTAGATTATTATTATTACTATAGTATTTTACATAGCAACAGTGATTCATTTGATATACATTTGTATGCAAAAGTTTGAACAACCCTGGTCAAATTGCATGTTTTGTTATTTTTTTTAAGTGAAAGTATGTTCACACATCATCTACAGGAATGAAACTTAATTATGCCATTTTCTGCAAATTCTATTTATTTGTTGTTTAACACGTCAAAAAATTAAACATAACATTTAAAATGTGCCACAACTTTTGCACAGGGCACATTTTATGTTTTTTTTTTCCAAACAGGGTCATTTCTGCAAATACACTGTAATTAAAATGCATTATAATGTGTGCTGTCTGTAGAGGATGCGTTAACTTATTTTCAAATTAACAAAACTTGTCATTCGACCAGACGTGTTCAAACTTTTACATACAACTCTATGACAGAATTTTTGTTTTCAATCATGTTGTTTTTGTTTTGCTCCATTACACATAATTTGCTTTATTAGGTAATTTTGACAGTGTGTCCTGCTTTACTCTGTATCCACTGCACTAGTTTGCATATTTGTAATTCACTGTTTTTGTAGTTTAGCACTTTATTAGCATTTCACTGCTGTCAGAACTAAAAATTATAACTTTACAGGAGAAGGATAAAACCTACTTTACTATCAGTGTAAGTCAATGGAACCAGACTTTTTTCCAAATAATTTTGGGACATTTCTTTTATTCCATTCATAATGAACTTTACACACAATGTAAAGAACAACAGGTATGTCAAAAACTGAAAAATGACAAAAATGTAGATATGAGGTTTCGTTCCAGCAGCAGCTGGTTTGATACAATGAATATTTTTCATATTTGATACCAATTTTGCCAAGCAGGGGTCAACATTGCTACTGCCCATACCCCTGGCCACAGCACTGCACATTTTGGCCACTAAAAATGCAGAGCCAGTTTAAAAAGGCAACACTGTTTTTTAGGTACTGAAGCATGCAAACACAGTGTATACACAACAAACATACTTCTATAATTTTGGCCCCAAATTCTTCATTTTGGCTACAATATTCATTTTCCTTGAGCAGTGCAAACTTTTATATCTGTCCACCCGTGTTGCCAGGAAAAATCTAATTTGGTCTCAGGTGTGTCCCCTGTATAAGTCGTTCTCCTATACACTTACATTATTATTATTTTTTTTTGATGAAGAACAATATCTAGTTTCTTGAGTGTATAGCATACCTGCTTTGCTGTGCTGGAATGGTTCAATTGTGGTCTTATTTTCTTACTTTCCAATGCCCAAATATTCACTAACCCCTCTCTATTGGTTCTGATGGAGGAGGCTGTACCGTACAGTTGTTTAAAATGGGGCTACTGCTGCTGTTTAAACACAGTGGTCTTAGTTTGAGTTAGAGAATAAGTGTGGTGAGAGTCTCCAGGCGGAATAAGTGAGTGGAGGGTCAGTAATCTAATGGAGAGATAGTAGAGCGAAGGTCTGAGAGGTGTTGAGTGACTTTAAAAGCAGTTGACGTCCTGCTCTCGCTCAGCGAGGCCGTCGAGGACAGCGTGCTGGTTAAAGGAACAGAGAGTTTGTTTTGAAATAGAAGCAGCAGGTAGTAAAGCAGGGGTGATTATTTAATGCTAGTCTTTGTTTTTAATCCCTAAAAATACTCAATATTTAATACAAATTCAATGAAAATGTCATGAAAATTTGTGCAGCAAGCAGTTTCCTGTGTTCTCTGCTAAACCGACAATTTATTTTTAAAATATTGATACTGATTTTTTGGGGGGGGGGTCGCTCTGTATACTGAAAATAAATGTCTTGATTTTTTAGTGTGTCTATTTTTATAACACTTTAACTCTTTTTCCTACATTTTTTATTATCTTCACTTCTTATAAATGCTTTCTTATTTGTACTAAGCATTATAATATTATTTATGCCCAATTTATTCTGCAAGAAAATATAATTTGATTATTAATTTTATTACTGCTGCGAGACAAAGCAAACATCAAACAATCATTTTATGAATGAATTATTCTCTCCAGTAATTTTATATGGTATTTTTATGCTTCCATTAACAAATCTAACAAAACATCCATTCACAAATAAACTTCATTTCCATTTCAAATTCTATATATTTTCACATTTCTAGATCTGCCTTGTTCTAAAAATTTATTAATTTAGTGAGCAGACTGGAAATTTCTTAGCTGGTCATTTTCAGAGAGTTAAGAGAAATTAAGCATTAAACAATGGCTTTTGTTCTCTGTATGTGATTGCAGACATTGGGATGATTGAGCTGGGCTCAGTGGCTGAGGGCAGCAGCCCTATTGAGGAGCTGATGGAGCTGACCGCGCAGAGCCTGTGTCAGCTGAATATCAAAGAGCACTTCAACGTGATTAAGGAGATCGGCCGGGGCAAGTACGGCCGGGTGCTGCTGGTCACTCATCGCTGCCGAGGTACGTCTCACGGTGGGACCAAACTCTGTAAAATGAGCACAGTTTTCTTCTTTTTTGTTTAAGTGACCGACAAATAAGTAATTAGCAGTGCTTCTTGTGAATCAGTTAAAAATAAACCATGTTTTTTTATGTATTAAAAAGGTCTCGTTCTGTCAAAGAAATAATGAGTACCAAAGTAAAAGTAGCCTAGTAAAAGTATCTTTGAATAAAACATGATCAAGTCAGAATAGTCCTCGAGCTCGAGAACCCCAGTGGAACTTAATACATCCAGCATCTATCAGCATCAGAAGTGAAGTTTGTTAAACTCTTCTCTTTTGGGGATTCGTTTGGTCTTTAAACAAAATGCTAAAGTTCTGAAGTGAAAGGTTTGGGCAAAGATAAACAAATTTAAATTAAACCCAGCGAAGTAATTAGTACCTAAATGTGAATAGCTAAAGTGGAACTGGGTAAATAGCAGATTAGGTTCCTAACATTATCATTTAAATACTAAGAAAAGTACAAAGTAAGCAAAAAAAGTAAATGCAACTATTTACTGGTTACACAATACTGACATTTATTAAATCACCTATTAACTGTAATCTAACTGTCACATGGGAGGCATAAAGGCAAGAACCCTCTGCTGCGTTCCTCTCTCCAATGCTTGAAGTCCTTTACCCAGAGCATGGGAACATCTTGAGTAGGTACATTACTGGAAATTTTAAACAAGATTCAAACTACACACTAAAGCCACCCCCCAAAAGGAAGAGAATATCGCTGCTGTCGGAACAAAACCTCGTATCTCCAAAATGATAATTTTACAGGAGAAGGAAAAAAACTTCTTTACGTTTAATGTAAGTCAATGGAACCAGACTTTTTTCCAAGTCATTTTTGGTCATTTCTTTTGGTCCATTCATCATGAAATTTACACACAATATAAAGAACAACAGGCATTTTCAAATTATGTCAAAAACCGAAAAACGATAAAAAAGAAGATGCAAGGTTTTGTTCCGACAGCAGCGATATGCTAATGTTGTGTTTGGACGGTCCTACTAAACCAAGTGCATTGCCCTCAAAGTTGGATGACAAGCAGTACATTTCTCTGTTCTGTGCAAGTTCTATGTTATTTAGTTTACGAGTTTGTGTTCAAGTGGTGCCAGAGAAAGCACTGGCAATATCTCACTAGCCAGAACGTTCTCTTATGCCACTTGAAATAGAAGACCAAGCTGGCATTGGCCTGTACGTATTGTTCACAAGATAAATATACCAGTTGCTGTTCTGATAGTTGCAATGATAATGTGACAATTTTGACTTTGAGTAAAAAAAAGCATCCAAATGGACCAGCAGACAAACAAAAGATGGCGCATCCAATTATAAAGAGAAAAGGCAAATTGGGACAGCATTGCCTGCATGTAAAGTCAGAAAACTGTCATGTCTCCAAATAACTACCAGATGTGTAGCAATCAGTAAAAATGGCAGGACTGGATCAGTGACATTGCTCACTGCAAAAAAATATATTGTTGGTTGTTCACTACAGTTCGGCTTAATGTTAGAATCCTTCATGAACATTACGAAGATATTAATGTGTTATTAACAGATTTACCCTTAACTTGGTCGGCTACTCTGTTTTCCAGCATGTTCATGTGGTATCAGAGTAAGTACAGGCTGGTGATGTTACAGCTGGTACATTCAGGCAACACGTAACTTTCCTTAGTCCACCAGTATTTTCACCTTTGTCAGCTATTTGAGTGCAACTTCCTTGTAATAAATCTGGAAATTCATTTTCAAACGAGGACCACCTGAATGCACCGGTATACCAAATAAACTGAACCCACTCAGGTGGATACAATTAATCTACTGGGCAAAACTGGGACTGGCTTGAACTGACGTGGTGGGACAAACATGAGGCTAACTGTGGAGCTTTTACAGTACACTCTTAAAAAAAGATGGTTCTTCAAGGGTTCTTGATTAAAGAAAATGGTTCTATATGGAACCATGAGCACTCAAATAACCCTTTGCATGAATGAAGCGTTCTTTGTATATGGAAAGGATTCTTTGGATTGATGCAGAATGTGTTGTAGATGAAAAAAGGGTTCTATATAGCATCAAAAAAGGGTTTTTCTACTATTACACTGTCAAGGTTGTTACAATAAAAGAACCTTTTTTGGCGCTATATAGAACCCTTTTTGAAACGGTTCTATTTAGAACCATCTGCAGCACATTCTCCATCAATCTGAAGAACTCTTTTACAATGCAAAGAAGAATTTAATCATAGAAAAGAAATTCTTTGAATTCTTTGCGTTCTTTGAGTGTTCATTGTTCTATATAGAACCATTATCTTTATCCACATTATCCACAAAATTCACATATTCCCATGATATCATTCAAACAACTGCAAAAGCTTTGTTCAGATATACTTCATATACTGAATACTTCACTGATCATTTTGTGCTGTACTGTGTTATTGTTTGATATGCAGCCCTCAAATCCTGAAACAGTAGATCGGTTCCATCTGTGCCCTATCAGTAAGAATTGTGATCAAAGTGTATAGTATTTTATTGTAGTGACATTTAAAGCTATAACGTGCCATTCCCATGAAATGGTATCAGGCAGTTTTAAAGCCCGGTGTCGAATAAAAAGTCACAATCCTTTGTTGAAATTTATGTGTCTCTGGAGATGTTTGTTTAAGTGTGTGATGCTTGATCCTGTCCTCTCTTGTTTCTTTTACTTGGCGCGCGTTCTGCAGGGACGCCCATGGCTCTGAAAGTTCTGCCCAAAGCGTCCACCAAGCTGAAGGGCTTCCTGCGTGAATACTGTATCTCCCTGCACCTGTCCCACCATCCATGCATTGTGGGCCTGTTTGGAATTGCCTTTCAGTCAGACGAGCACTATGGGTTCGCTCAGGAGCTGGTGGTCGGACGAGACCTGTTTGCGGTCATCCAGCCTCGGGTCAGTCTTCCCAAAGAACACGCAGTAACTCCACACAGAACATGCAGTAATACCATGCACATGCAGAAGTACTTTCACAATGATTTATATAAAATACTTCATCTCTGTTCGTCTCTGTTCCTACACCCCACACAAACCACCTCTGAGATGCACTTCTAAAATTTGCACACAAGCTCTTTTGGAACAGTGTACTCTGAAACAAAAATAGAACTCTTTAGCAATTCAGCTCATCATGTTTGGAGACAGAAGGGTTGCATGTATAATGCCAAGGACACCATAACCACAGTGAAGTACGAAGGTGGGAGCATCACAACATGCGGCTACTTGACAAATGTTACCAGGGCTTTACATGTAATCAAAGGAAACATAAATGTAGAGAAGTACTGCGACATATTAGAGGAGAATTTAATCTCATAGGCTAAAATAATTCAAGACTGGTTTCTAGAACAGAAGGTGAAAGTGCTGGCATGGCCAATCCCCTGACTTAAATACCTTTGACAGTTTAAGGAGGATTTTGAAATTGCAAGTCCATCAGGGGGCCATCATAACTTCGAGGAACTGAAGAGGAATGGGCTAAAATTGCACCATAATGCTGGAAAAGCTTATTATTTCTTACCATACACATCTTAAAGCTATAATCGCCAATAACGGCTTTGCTTGTTGTGTCTAAATACTTTTTTCCTAATCAATTTTGTTTGCTAGGCTTCTTTGTTTATGCTTCTGAATACACAGTATTTTGTTCATATTTATGAGTAGAAGGTCAAAAGACATTACATGAATAAATATGGTGTGGATGTAAGCACTGGAAGTATGTTAAATAACAAAAAGAAAAGTATTTTATTAATTTTTGAAGATTAAGATTCTGAATAGAGATAATTGAGAAGCATTTGCTTCTGGAATTTGCTGTAACAGTACTATTTCAGCTGCCTGTCTAAATATGGGATCAGCAGGTCTGTCCACTTTTTACTTAAAAAAACAGTCATACAAAGGAGCTAATGCTGAAGCTAACAGGTTTCATTTTAGAAGAAAGGCAGTCATCAACCTCCGCATGAGTTAACTTTCTTGTAAGTTGGTGGATCAGTAGATGATGTGCCAACATTTTGGCGTGTTGATGACATTGAGAACAGGGTGATATACTGTCTAATGTCAAGTATCATAGTTAGCCTAGCTGCACTACTTTAGACTTTAAACCGATCACCATCACCTCTGAGCTATCAACTGTGATCAGAGAGCCTTGTAGAGGTCTGTCTCACAGCACTAAAGTTCCACCTCAGTAAAATGTGTCTCACTTGGATACTTTTTGCGTTAAAATAACATATAAATGTACAATGTTATAAATAACAGAAATGCCATGTTTAGCTACAAAGCCACATTAGCTACGCCATTAATGTAAACCCACTACTTTGGTTAATCAAATGACTACTGGTGATGTTATCAGCTATAATCCACTGATTTTGCATTTAAATCTATTACACTATGTAACTGAATTATATAACTAAAAATATCCTAATATAAACAACGGATTTGAAGATGAGTAACATGACTAGGATACTCAACATTTTGCAGTTGTACCTGATTTGTCAGTGTATTTAACTGTTTATTTAGCTGATGTTTCCATAGTTTACATTTTGACTTGATGTGCAGACCTTTGATCACTTCATAACTGTCATCGCACAACTTCACAGTACTGTAAATACAGTGTCAGGTTCAGGATGTCATTGGACGAGAATAGGCCTACTGTCAGCGTAAATATTAAGTACACTACAGGCCTGGTAGGTGGGGGAGGGGGTGGATTTAAAGCGCAATTTTTCAGTAAGGCTGGATAGCTTCAGCCCAAAGTTAAAGACTGTCCAGTAGGAATGTCTATTCTGTGTTATCCTATAGGACAGGCTTGACTTTAGGCTCAAGTTATCTGGCTAACTGAGAAGTAAGATTTTCAGCATTGAGTAATCATGTCTCAGACAGGTTCGATGGAAGAAGGCTTGCAGAGAACGCTCAGCACATTTCAGCAATGTGTGTATGTACTGGGAGGAACTCTCGGAAGGGGTCAGCGCGTGAATCGTAGAGCCATGCAGCTGCCCAGCTTCCTTTCAGCACCAGCACAAGCCTGTTGGCTCAGTGGACTTCTATGAAACATTAAACTCCACACATAAAAGATTTAAGGCACAACAACACTACAGGAGTCTCACACCCCAGAGGAGCCTCTTCATATTAGAATTCCTCCTGCTAAGATGTGAGATGTTGTGAGAAGATAAGCCCTAGGCCAGAAGAAACTGAGGCATAGCCACGTGCTGATGCCTACAGAGATGCTCAGGAATGGTCATAACACATGTTTTGGTCTTTTGCATTGCAATTTGCACGTCACTGCCAAAAAAACCCTAAAACTATTTTTTACATTTTTATTTTTCTACAAAGTTTGGAATGGACCAATAAAAATGGTCCAAAATTATTTAGAAAAAAAAAATTATGACATTAATTTGCATTACATTAAACATTACAGTACTAAGGACAGCGATGATATGCATGTCTCTTTAGGCCAATGCCTTTCAACAAATTACCATTTTAAGCTTTGCTAGAAAGAAAGTTTAAGCTTAAAAAAGTGAAGTAGACAAGACGTTATGTTGTTTTTCCCAAGAAAACATTATCTGCATAATCAAAAATCCAGAATGATTCATTAATTGAGGAGTACACAATCAGTAAGAGTAACAGAATGTTTGGATTTGGGTTTTGGTTCACTGGAACCAGGCATGATCCGAGTTTATACATAATGCTGCCAACAATAAATGGTGAAAATCCATAAAACGTCCCTTTTGATTTCTTTACAATGTACAAGGTTACCTAACAACACTCTGTATGTACCTCTGGTAAAATACTCCAGTGGTTTTATAGGAGTTTTGCTTTCTTCTGGCAGGTGGGCATCCCAGAGTGTGCAGTGAAGCGTTGCGCTGTCCAGGTGGCCAGTGCTCTGGAGTTCATCCACCAGCTGGGCCTGGTTCACCGTGACATTAAACCCGAGAATGTGCTTCTGCTGGACAGCCACTGCTGGAGGGTCAAGCTGGCTGATTTTGGCCTGACCCAGAAACAGGGCACCCTCATCCGCTTCATCAAGGGCACACTGCCCTACATGCCCCCGGAGCTGTGTGCCATGGTCCTGGAGGATGGTCAGGAAGAGGTAAAGGCCCCCCCGCTTAGTGTACAGCCTAGCCTGGACACCTGGGCCTTCGGAGTGCTGCTTTTCTGCATCCTCACAGGCTTCTTCCCCTGGGATCGCTGCATGGACACCGACGACTTCTATCAGGAGTTTGCTGACTGGCGGCAGGACCCGGAGAAGACCCCAGTTCCCTCGCAGTGGAAGCGGTTCACACCAACATGTATGAAGATGTTTGCGAGGCTGCTAGCACTGGATGCTAATGAAAGGTGCTTGCCAGAAGAGGTCAAGGGGTTTGTGGGTAAAGAGTGGGTAAGGTCACAGGGCCTGAATGGACTGACAGAGGACAGTGAGAAAATTAGCACCACGTCAGCTCTGAGCCCCTGTAAAAGCAGCCCAGCGCTGCAGTAGTGCTGTCATGTGACAACTGGTGAGAGGTTTAAGAATTCTGCTAACCCAAAAAGCTAACATGGTTAAGACAGATGGCCAGTGGGGCTTCCAGTTACCCTGTAAATGAAGTACTAAATCATGCTGTCTAGTTTTCATTTACTGCTAGCTGTATTAGTAAATTTGTGTTGAAGTGTCCTAAAAGCTAACAAGCTAACAGTGAGGTTTTCAAGCTGAGAACTGAAAGTTAAATGGGGTGATGAGGGATCAATATTTCTCTTTATAGAATTATTTCAAGCAAAAATGCTAACATTGTCAATAAGGCTGACAAACAGGGTTCTTTTTAAGGAAGACAGATCGGCCAGTTAGCATGTAAATGACAGCCCTTTGGTTTTCATTGACTGCTAAGTACATTAGCATATTGTACTCTATGAAAATTTTATTAAGATGCTAACAAGCTAATCTCTAAGGAAACTAAGGACTAAGATGGGACAAAGTAGGGATGAGAGGTTCAAGAATTTTTTTTTATAGAAAAATTTCTCATATAAATGCTTGCATTAAGCATTGAGGTTTAGTTAGACTGCAAATTTGAATTAATGTTAAATGGATGTAATGAATTTAAAAAAAAATTAATTGATTAATTAGTTACATTTTTTAGTTAAAACATCTTTTTTTGTTGAAATTTACAGTGTAAATGTAACTTATCCCAGAGTTTTCATTCACTGCTAGCTACATTAGCATCTTTGAGGTGAAGTATTCCATTAAGAAGCTACCAAACTAACAAAGACCGGTGGGGAAAGTGTATGTCTAGACTGGTGGGAGGTAATATGTATGTCTAGGTTTATAATCCACTGGGCGGGAAGAGACTCTGGGAGTCTGTTTGCAGTGTGCTCATATCACTCTGTACAATTTCATCACTGTTGTACGTTCATATATGCTCCTATATATGTACATATATTAACAGTATTTTGCCTTTAGGACATGAATTGAAGGAACGGTTTGTAAATTAGATTTAGATCATCATTGTATAGGTATGCTTGGTTTTCGCTGTTGGACTCATAGAGTGTTGTAGCACCAGAATGGCCTACCTCTACTAATGAACTTATAATGTGTTTGCGGTGTTATCACATTGATGCATCTTTTGGCAATGAGAAATCTTAAATTCTATGTAAATTTTACTGTAAATTGAAAATGTTTAAGGGTAAAATAGCAACATGAAACATGCTAATTTACATTTATGGCATTTGGCAGACACTCTTACCCAGAGCGACTTAAAATTTGATCATTTTACACAGGTAGGCGAAGGTAGTGTTAGGAGTCTTGCCCAAGGACTCTTATTGGTATAGTGTAGGGTGCTTACCCAGGTGGGGTTTGAACCCCAGCCTACAGTGTAGAAGGCAGAGGTGTTACTCACTACACTTTACCTATAAGCATGGACTGTTGTCGCAACAGATGTAATGGTGGAAAGCTTCTAAAACCTTTACTTCTCTCAGTTTGTGTAAGAAATGACTGCACTTTGAAGCTTTAAAGGTTGACCCTAACAGGTTATGGCCTTTGTAAGAAATATAATAAATACATAAATCAACTCCTCGGCTACTTTTTTCATGCTGTTGAAGGCTGCTTTGATCTGCTTTGAAGTGGAAGTCATCTATGGCACACACACACATACTTAGTGCCTCCAGCCTTCACCCTCTCTCAGTGAATAATCTCTTGGCATCTGCTGCAGCTGGCAGGCCAGTGACGGACAGTATGCTGGTGTTTGTTGGGATCTGGCGCTGATGCGGTTGTCCCACCAAGGGGCTTGTGTGTCCTGCAGGCCTGGGGCCCATTTGGCCGAGAGCCCCAGCCCAACAGCTCCCCGTGCTTTGCAGCATATTTAGAGTGTTACGCCGACTAGTATTGGGTTTCTACTGTCCCCCTGGGGGGTCTGATCTTACAGTACCTCATGATGGGGCTGCATTAATATTCTGTGTGACATATAAGCCACAAGTGAAAAGTTTTACACCTATGCGGGCAATACATAAATCAACCTCTTGACTGTTTTAAAGGCCGTAGCTATAGATCTGTGGTAAACCTAACAGCCAAACACTAAGAGGCAGCTGCGTGCATGAGATTTGTTTTAGTTTTGCCTCAGATTCTGTTTCAACAGCCTGTAAATAGGCAGCTTCATAACATCCCATAACATGTGCTTTAACTTTTCAACAGACCCAGCTCATGTCTGTAGACGGTACGTAACAATGCATGTCTTCCTAGTAAACATGGCGATATACAGTGTCCATTCCAGGAACGTTCTTTCCAGGCGACATCAAACTGAGATGGGATGAAGTCATCACCAAACACTCGGCCGCAGCTGTTCTAATTGGTGCTTAACAGATACACTATCTGAAGCTAATGCTAGATTACTATGACGCTAATGACTGCCTCATCCTCTTAGAATTCAGCCAGAGAGGCATTAGTAAATATGAACTTCATATAGCTGCGTATATATTACCTGTGGAGTGTTAGCACGATAGCCGAGCCTGGAGCAATAAGCAATCATTCAAGCTTTAGTTGTTTTTAAATAAAACCTCATGCAAAGTCAATTAACCACTATGCATTCATTAATTTGATGTCCACGTTTATATCCAGTTATAGCATGCATTTTCACATTTTTTACAAAAGCAGCCTGGCATTTTGCAATTAAACATCAATGGCAGCAATGTGCAGTTATCTATACTTCAGAATCAAAATTAAATAAAGCAATAATCATAAGAAGCCATATGTTACAGTGATTTTACCATCGGATGAAGCAGCACAAATATGTCTTACAATGTAAAATATGATACACTCCTGTTTAATAAATTGTTAATTTAGTTTTATTGATAACCACTATTGACATTCTATCATCAAACATTCTCGTTCCTTTGCAGTAAGTTATGATTAGAAGAAATATAACAATACATGTTTACCAGTGTGGAACGCTCAGAAAAGGTCTAATGATTTCAACGAACTAAATGTTTCAGTTCATGTTTGTTTCATAGAGTCTTCATTCTTGTTGTGTTTTAACTTGTTATATTTTAATTAAATAAACAAACAGAAAGTTGCCCACTCAACATTTTTTTCCCTGAGATGTCTTGGTAAATACAGCCAACAGATCTCTCTCTTTGATTATGCCTTCAGGAGCTTAACAGAAGGCCTTACACACTAGATTAACTCCTTTTCACAGTAGCCATGAAACACAATATCTGCCTGTTTTGGACGTCGCTAAATTTTGCACTATGAATTTTTGGCTGCAGTAATGTGACGGAATTTATTTTGATGGAAATCTGTATGATTTACAAAACTAGAACCCAACTGTATTTTCATCTTAGTAGGTGAGTAATGAATGTTTTAATTGTGTTGAAATGCTTTCTTATCATCTTTGTGGAGAGGTGTGAATTGTTTTCATTGTCTCCCCTCCCCTTTCACCCCTTATTCCTTCCTAACAGTTCAACACACAACAAAACAGTTATGGGAAAAAAATGTATTTGATCATATTAATCTGAAATATCTGAGTCAATTTCCGTTCCACCAGTGGAATGGCCTGAAGAAAGAGGTTACCTACCAGTGTAATTATAAAGTGACAGAGGACTCAAATTTTTGATGCGCAACAGGCGGAACCAATTTTGTGAAAATGCCATCCCATGTCTTTTGGAAGTCTTCCATGCATAAAATCTCCCACACCAATTTCATATCATGATTGTAGGGTAAAACAGAAAGTGGCATCACATGTTGGGCTGTGGTAGAAAAAAATAACTAACTAGCACTGTGTGCAGCAGTGCTCAGCAAAGCAGCTAATCTCATAAGAGAAGCTTTGTTTGCTGTCCACCCAAATTCATGTTTGCTGTTATTTATTTTTGAATTTAATTAAGTTACTTCTGTTACTTTTAGTTAGGTTTTTAATATTTTTCCATGTTTTGTAGCACTGATTGGCAAGACAGTTATAGCCAGTAATAGATACATGCATAACAATTATGCTTAGTATTGCATGTTGCTTTGCATGTTTTCATGTGTGTGAGCACAGCTAAGACCAGTTCTACTTATATCTAAGCTTTGGTTGGTGCAAGAGGTGTAAAGTCCTCTCAGAAAATGGTCTTGGAAATTGAAAATGGCTACAAAGTGTCTTAGTCAAGGCAGACAAACCTTTCCCAGGATTCAGTTCTTTGTCAGAAATAGAAGCAGAAACTCTATGCCAGGGCTCTTTACTGAAACAGTCACTGAAACTGCTTCACACAAAGTAAAATATATCTTAAGGTTTGTTGCAAGCTAAAAAATGAAGGTATTTTACAAGCTTCAAATTATTCTAGAACATTCTAACAGAAGCGTTAGTTCAGTGCTAACATACTCTTAGAAAACTCATAGGGTGCTAACAGAAATGAGCATTTGCAAAGATTTTTTTTCTCTTTTTTCTTAATATTTTTTTTAAGGCCCAAACTGAAGGCCAAGTTCTAACAGTCCCAGTTCCCTGCTGGTATCTACATACTGATGTTTTATAATTACTTGGCACATTTACATACAATTCAGTTGATCTGTGCATATTTTATCAAATAGTTCACAATGGCTTCAAATGTGCCTCAGCCAAACAGATTTTAGAACCAGAACTAACTATTTTAGAAGGCGGCTTACACTAAGACCACAAAAAGGCTGCTTGTGGAGTGATGAATCATGAGGTTTTGCACTTGGGACAACAGCTGAAGTGACATCACACAACGGTCCTCTGCTCTTCACTGTGTCTTGTGTGTAAAATGGAAACAAAACAATAGCGAGATTATCACGTAACTGGTTAACCTTCCAAATTACATCACTCTTCCCGATCTCCCAGCAGGCTTTGGGAGAGATTCAGTGGTCCAGAAGCTTGCTGAGAGGAGGGATCCCGTTTGACTGATAACGACACGGCCTCCTACTCATAAATCTTCACTGTTATGCTTTGTTATGGAAAATTACCACAACCGACCCACAATCTCACAGCCAGCAGCTTCCGATTACACTAGTCCACAGGGCTTTGTGTGATGGAAGCCATTTCACTAGTTCATGCTGATTGGCCAGGCACAGGGAAAACAATGTCCAAGCAGTGAACCAGTATCAGATGAGATGACAGGTTGAGGAGGACAGAACGTTTGTGCATGAATATCATACACTGTGATGACATTACGGCATCTGGAAGAGTTTTGTTTATGTTCGAGATAGTACCTTGCAGATGGTGGCTTCAAAAAGTATTTGGACATCTGTGCCGTACTTTAAACTGTATTGTTAATTGTGTTGGGAAGCAAAATGTCAAACCGAGTGGCATTTATTTTAAACAGGCCATTCAAAGAACTGTTGAATGCCAGCTGGTTTGTTTCAGATGGTTATTTGCATCCAACATGTCTTTGGACACTTCTGAGTTCATGATCCCATCAATGGACAGAGAAAGAAAAAAAGAAAAACAAATCTGAGCTTTACAGAACGCTTAGTGCAGTCTGGTTAAAATTCCTCTCCAGGTTTTCCACACAGAGTTCACCATATGTTGTGCTAAAACAGTTTTCCTTTGAGGCAAATATTATTTTGTTGAACACTTGACAAAGTAACCTTAAAGTTCACCATTGGTTAAAGTTTCCAAATACTTTTTTGGGTTTCTTTCATAATGTAGACTCACCTGAGACAAAGACTCTTATTTAGTAGGCTTATATGAACCATTTTGTCATCATGGTACATGGGTCTGTGCGTTGGCATTGCCATGTTTAGGTCAGGTGACAATGGGGGGGGGGTATCAAACTCACTACAGAAGAAAAAGATTTGCATGCTCATTGGTTAAAGTTGGTAAAGCTATGCTAGTCACCTTCACATAAGTAAGTCAATGCTGTACCAGACAAGTGAACGGTGTGTTGCTAAATATTGAATGGAAGAAAGGATCACAGAGGATCATCACTATTCTTTACATGCGGAAATACATGGGAGTCTGAAGCAAGTAACATAACCTTTTCCAAGTCCATAAAACACATGTAGACTGGGTTGGCAAACTCCCATGCGTGAGGGTGAAAGTTAATCCATTGTTCCATGGCCGGGACGAAATCCGCGTTGTTCCTACCCA